CAATACCTGGCGCTATACATTAATGCGCTATGTATAGCGCCAGGTATTGTGGCGCTATACCTGACCATGTCAGCTTTTACAGTATAACGCCACAATACCTGACGCTATACATTAACGGTTCCGTTACCGTTAATGTATAGCGTCAGGTATTGTGGCGCTATATATAAAAATGTACTTTTTTTTAACCACCTATTTGTATAGTTTGAGTAAAAAAAAAACCACACTTTGATTCCGAACTCAAAAAACAAATTCACACCTCATGATATTCTGCATCAATAACATATTCGCATTTTAATGGTTGACTCATTCTAGATGAAACATTTCGCCAGTTCAGCTATGTCATAATTGATCTTTGATGTTGTACCATGAATTTAAATATTTGTCTGGAATATAATGCTATTAGATCTGGACCGGCAACAGAATATCTTATGTCTGCTATGGACTCTATATTTGAAAATTATGGTGCGCCAAGAATTTTGGTTAATTTTGGGTTCTCACCCTAGAAATATGAGCAGATTGATCAAATATCTTGACCCTCTAATTGGAATTTACGCAAGGTAAATCAGGTCAATTTTGAATATTTAAACAATATGACAGTGAATTTTATTTAGACTCTGATGTAAAATTTTCACCAGAAAATGTCACAGTGATGAATGTAAATATGGTATGATTGTCAGCAGAAAATTTCATTTTCGTCGTTAATTAAACAACAAACTCAGTGTATTTCCATAAATGAGGTAGGGTAGGGGAATGTGTACGTGTACCTCACTCTTACCTTATAAAGATAAAGAGCCTGTTTCCGATAGACCCTCGGCCATTTTCGTCATTAATTGGTAGTGAAAATTAGTTTGTCCTCCTGTTTAAACAACATTTTTTAAGTCAATTATTTCTCTAAGTACTTCTTCCTTTTATTTAATTTTGGATTATGGAGAGGGATGATTAAGGGTAATAAAGTCAATTTAGGATTGCCCTGTTGACTCTGACGCCAGACCAAAAGTTTTCTTTTCCAGCAGTCATATGAAAGTTGTCCATTTTGAAGAACTGACCCATTCTTCAAGAATGGCTTCTACTAAGAATATATATATGCAAATCTCCTTTGTTCTATAATAGCTTTGTCCTCTGTGTAAGCTCTGAGCAGCTATGGACAACAAAAACAATTCTTTTTTATTCCTTTCTTTGCTGTGCTTATGCTTCTCTCTCAAAACCCATCTCTCCTTAGGAGCTGACACCATCTCTGCAAATCAATCCCTCTCTGGAGACCAAACAATATCCTCTTCAGGTGGGAACTTTGTGCTGGGATTCTTCAGACCAGGTAATAGTTCCAACTATTACATAGGCATATGGTACAAAAAAGTGACTGAAAAAACTCCTGTTTGGGTTGCAAACAGGGAAACACCAGTTTCTGATAAAAATTCTGCAGAGCTAAAAATCTTGAATGGTAATTTGGTACTGGTTAATGGGTCTAATACTTCAATTTGGTCCACAAATATTAGTTCTAGCAAGTCCAATTCTGTGGTAGCAGTTCTCCGAGATGATGGTAATTTAATCTTGAGAGATGGGTCTAATTNCGTAGGCATATTGTTGGAAGTGGAAAATCAGTGGAGGGTTCATTGGTGGCATTTGGTTACAAAGACTTGCAACATGCTACCAAAAATTTCTCAGAGAAGTTAGGGGGTGGAGGTTTTGGTTCTGTTTTCAAAGGGAAACTGTCTGATTCATCTGCTATTGCGGTTAAGAGGCTCGATAGCATCAACCAGGGAGAGAAGCAATTTCGAACGGAAGTCAGCACAATCGGAACAATCCAACATGTTAATCTTGTACGCCTTCGTGGATTTTGCTCTGAAGGTAACAAGAAGCTGCTGGTTTATGATTACATGGAAAATGGTTCCCTGGATTCACATCTTTTTACCGAGAAGCAGTCAGATGTTATGGATTGGAAAACAAGGTACCAGGTGGCGCTGGGGACAGCTAGAGGCTTGACTTATCTCCATGAGAAGTGCAGGGAATGCATTATACACTGTGACATAAAGCCTGAAAACATCCTTCTTGATGCACAATTATGCCCCAAAGTAGCAGATTTTGGCCTGGCAAAGCTTGTTGGGCGCGACTTTAGCAGAGTGCTTACTACTATGAGAGGAACAAGAGGTTATCTTGCACCTGAATGGATATCTGGGGTGGCCATTACAGCCAAAGCTGATGTTTATAGCTATGGTATGATGCTTTTGGAAATCGTATCAGGGAGGCGAAACTCGGAGCAGTCTCAAGATGGAAAAGTGAAATTCTTCCCTAGTTGGGCTGCACGTGTATTAGCTGATGAAGGCGACATCCTTAGCCTATTGGACTATAGGCTGGAGAGAGTTGCTGACGCTGAGGAGGTGTCAAGAATATGTAAAGTTGCATGTTGGTGCATCCAAGATGATGAATTACAAAGGCCCTCAATGGGGCAGGTTGTTCAGATTCTTGAAGGAGTTTTGGAGGTGAATTTGCCTCCTATCCCACGCTCTCTTCAAGTTTATGCAGACAACGATGAGCACATAGTTTTCTTCACTGAATCATCCTCGAGCCAGACTAGTTCACAAGCTCAAAGCAAGACTTCAAGTGCAACATCTCAATCCAAAAGCACCACGGAGTCTATGAATTCCAGGTCTTGAATAGGTCTCTCAATTACTAGTGTTGTATATCACTACTAACTAATTCGAATACCTATGCTTAGCTTTGTATAATCAATTATTGCTTAGCCCTAGCATCGTCTGTTGTGTTTGCTAGGTTCACTACTTGTTATTCTATTCCATTTCGTACTTTTGGTAATTTCGTACTTGATTAACATTGATAATGGCAGCTGCCATATGATAAATGCTTGCCCCCGCCTCTGTTTAATGGCCTTTTGAAGAGAAAGAAAAATGGAGAGAAATCATGTGATGGAATGGCCTTTGCTTGAGAGTCTTGTCAATGTAAAGCTCCTCTTATGTCTCGTGGTTTCGCCACGAAGTTTTTACAGTGCTTAATTTTAGAGTGCAGAGAAACAAAACTTGAAAAGATTTCAAGATATGGAATTTAGGTTCTGCATGTTCTTTGAATTGATATAATATGGTATAATCTGATTGTGGGAGTGTTAGCAAACCAGGCGCCCCTGTTTACTTTCTCATGTGAGTAATAAAACTGACATGATTCACTATTAGTTGATAATTGTTAGAATAGTTATGTAAATAGGAGTAAATAACCCTAATCCAATATGTATTAGGAGTAGGACATGTTATGTATATATATATATATATATAGGGCTCATTGTATTATGTTTAACATAAGAGAATAATATCAATAACATTTTCTCCCGTGCATTTTCGCATGGTATCAGAGCAGCAGTGAGAAAACATCTGGGAAAGAAAACCCACCCAAAATAGCCGTCGTACATCAATTCCGACGACCTTCTAGGACTGCTTTTTCGAAAAAAAAATCAATTTCCATCGGTGTTGTGCAAAAACCAACACCACCACATCCTCCAACCCCCGGCGAGCAAACCCTATCAAATACCTCCGGCAGACAACCTCTCACGCGCCGGCGCGTGGAGCCCTTTCCGGCCATTTTTTGACGACGGATCTTCAGAACAGTTGGGTCGGCTACTAATTCCGACCCTACCCATCATGTTTTCATTTGATTCCGACCACTTTGAGTTTTTTCCGTCATATACACTGATTTTTTCCGGCAGCTACAGTAATTTCCCGGAAAAACAGTGTTTCCTTCATCTGTTTCAGCGAGTTTTCACGATGTCTTTGGGAGTCGATGCTTTCGGGTCTAGAAATCCGGGTTCTGGCAGTTCCGGTGTTATGATTGCCTCAGAACCTTTAATGGGAGGTTCAAACTACTTAGCTTGGGCTTCATCTGTCGAGTTGTGGTGTAAAGGTCAAGGAGTTCAAGATCATTTAACAAAAAAGGCTAGCGAAGGCGATGAAAAGGCCAAAATACTGTGGGAGAAGGTCGATGCTCAGTTATGTAGTATCCTGTGGCGATCTATTGATTCCAAGTTGATGCCCTTGTTCTGTCTAGGGGTGGGCATCGGTCGGTTCGGTTCGGTTTTGAACATTATCGGTTTTGCCTATCGGTTATCGGTTTACAAATATCATAACCCGATAAGATATTGGTTATCGGTTAGATATCATTATCGGTTCGGTTATCGGTTTACCCGATAAGATAAAACAACTAAAAATTTTTGCAAGATATAAAACAAAGAAATCAAACTGCCAGAACGTGTAAACTGCCAACTTTTGTTGTTTCTTAACAAAAGCACGCTCCCACTTCTGTGCAGTATCTACTGATGTCTGGCGGAGAACTGGTGGTGAGTCTTGCGTCTTGACTCTTGGAGGCTGCGACGGAAACAAGAATGAGAACTGAGAGACAAACGACTGAAGACTGAAGAGAGAATTAGGAAAATAAATAACCCTAGTATATACTTAAGGGTAAATTAGTAAATTATATCATTCTTATTGGGTTATCGGTTTTTACCCAATAACAAAAATGCAAACCGAGCCCGAACCGATAACCCAATAAAAAAAAAATTTAACCCGTTACCGAACCGTTAACCCAATAACCCAATACCAATAACCCAATAAAGAATTAACGGTTCGGGTTATCGGTTTTACCTGATATATGCCCACCCCTAGTTCTGTCCATTCCCGACATGTTATTTAGTTTGGTAAAAGGCTCGTAATTTATACACTAATGACATATCTCGTTTCTATGATGTAATATCGCGAATGACAAGCTTGAAGAAACAGGAATTGGATATGTCTACTTACTTGGGACAAGTACAGGCAGTCATGGAAGAATTTGAGACATTGATGCCAGTTTCTGCTAGTATTGAAAAGCAATAAGAGCAACGACAGAAGATGTTTCTAGTTCGTACACTCGCTGGACTCCCTAATGACCTTGATGCAGTGCGTGACCAGATTTTGGCTAGTCCGACTGTCCCCACAGTTGATGAATTATTCTCTCGATTACTTCGCCTTGCTGCAGCACCAAGTCACCCAGTGAGCTCATCACACACACTTGACTCATCTGTCCTCGTATCCCAGTCAGTGGACAATCGGACATCTCATACTATGGAGAATAGACAAGGAGGAGATCGTTTTGAAAGATCTAGACCTAAGTGCTCTTATTGTCATAAACTTGGACACACTTGTGACATGTGCTATTCTTTACATGATCGCCCACCCAAAAATGCTTATGTTGCTTAGACTGAGACTATAGGTAACCAGGGTTTTTTCTTTATCTGAAGGGGAGTATAATGAGTTCCTTCAGTATCGAGCTAGTAAGCAGACATCTCCACAAATAGCCTCTGTTGCTCAGACTGATACTTCTGTTGCTGGTAATTCTTTTGCTTGTGTTTCCCAGACTAGTACTCTTGGACAATGGGTTGTGGACTCAGCCGCTTCTGATCATATCTCTGGTAATAAATCACTTTTGTCAAATATTGCATATTCATAGTCTCTTCCCACTGTTACTTTAGCCAAAGGGTCTCAAACCAAAGCAAAAGGAGTTGGACAAGCGAATCCCCTACCCTCTGTCACTCTAGATTCCGTTCTCTATGTCCCTGACTGTCCTTTTAATCTTGCATCTGTTAGTCGTTGACTCGTGCCCTCCATTGTGATATATATTTTATTGATGATTCCTTTATTATGTAGGACCGCAGTACGGGGCAGACGATTGGAACAAGACTTAAATCAGAAGGCCTTTACTACCTTAACTTACAGATACTCCGGACCTAATTCACAGACGTTTAGGACATCGAAGCTTATCCAAGCTTCAGAAGATGGTGCCTAGTTTGTCTAGTTTATCTACATTAGAGTGTGAGTCATGTCAGCTCGGGAAACATACCCGAGCCTCCTTTCCTCGTAGTATTGAGAGTCATGCAGAGTCTGTTTTTTCTTTAGTTCATTCTGATATATGGGGTCTTAGTAGAGTCAGTTCAACCTTGGGATTTTGTTATTTTGTTAGTTTCATTGATGATCATTCAAGATGTACTTGGATTTTCTTAATGAAAGATCGTTCAGAGTTGTTTTCTATATTCCAGAATTTTTGTGCTGAAATTAAAAATCAATTTGGTGTTTCTATTCGCACTTTTCGCAGTGATAATGCCTTAGAATATTTATCCTCTCAATTTCAGCAGTTTATGACTTCTCAAGGAATTATTCATCAGACCTCTTGTCCTTACACCCCTCAGCAAAATGGGGTTGTAGAGAGAAAGAATAGGCACATCATTGAGACTGCTCGCACACTTCTCATTGAATTTCATGTTCCGTTATGTTTTTGGGGCGATGCAGTTCTCACAGCTTGTTATTTAGTTAATCGGATGCCTTCCTCTCCCATCTAGAATCAGATACCGTATGCAGTATTGTTTCCCCAATCACCCTTATACTCTGTTCCCCCTCGTGTTTTTGGAAGCATTTATTTCGTTCATAACTTAGCCTCTGGGAAAGATAAGTTAGCTCCTCGTGCTCTCAAGTGTGTCTTCCTTGGTTATTCTCGTGTTTAGAAGAGATATCGGTTTTACTCACCTGATCTTCGTAGGTACTTTATGTCCTCTGACGTCACATTTTTTTAGTCTAAACCTTTCTTTACCTCTTCTGACCATTCTGACCACCTTGATATATCTGAGGTCTTACCTATACCGACCTTTAAGGAGTCTACTATAGCTCTTCCTTCACCTTTCACCACACAAGTCGTACACGAGTCTACTATAGCTCCTCCTTCACCTTCCGCTACAGAAGTCTTACCCATTCCAACTGTTGGGGAGTCTAGTGTGGCTCCTCCTAGACTCCCTGCCATAGGAACACCACTCTTGATATATCATCGTCGTCCGCACCCAGCATCAGGCCCAGTTGATTCACGTCCTACACCTGACCCTGCTCCTCCTGCGGACTTGTCTCTTCCTAGTACACCGATTGCACTTCGGAAAGGTATACGGACCACCCTTAATCCTAACCCCTATTATGTCGGTTTGAGTTATCATGGTTTGTTATCACCCTATTATGTTTTTATATCTTCTTTGTCCTCTGTTTCCATCCCTAAGTCTACAGGTGAAGCATTGTCTCATCCAGGATGGCGACATGCTATGATTGACGAGATGTCTGCTTTACATACGAGTGGTACTTGGGAGCTCGTCCCTCTTCCTTCAGGTAAATCTACTGTTGGTTGTCGTTGGGTGTATGCAGTCAAGGTTGGTCCGGATGGTAAGGTTGATCGTCTTAAGGCTCGTCTTGTTTCCAAGGGATATACTCAGATATTTGGGCTCAATTATAGTGATACCTTCTCTCCCGTGGCTAAGATAGCATCAGTCCGCCTTTTTCTATCCATGATTGCTGTTCGCCATTGGACCCTTTATCAGCTGGACATTAAGAATGCTTTTTTACACGGTGACCTTGTGGATGAAGTTTATATGGAGCAACAACCTGGGTTTGTTGCTCAGAGGGAGTCTCGTGGCCTTGTATGTCGCTTGCGCCGGTCACTTTATGGTCTAAAGTAGTCTTCTCGAACCTGGTTTGGTAAGTTCAGCGCAGTTATCCAGGAATTTGGCATGATTTGGAGTGAAGCTGATCACTCTGTATTCTATCGGCATTCTGCTTCAAGTCTTTGTATTTATCTAGTGGTCTATGTTGACGACATTGTTATTACCGGCACTGACCAGGATGGTATTACTAAATTGAATCAATATCTCTTTCAACACTCTCAGACTAAGGATCTGGGCAAACTAAAGTATTTTCGGGGTATTGAGGTCGCTCAGTCTAGCTTAGGTATTGTGATCTCACAACGAAAGTATGCCTTAGATATTCTTGAGGAGACAGGAATGACAGGTTGTAG